AAGAGTGTGGTTCTAGAGTTGGGATCTCTTTCAACTCTGCCACTCATGAATTCAGTCCCTTTGGCCAAATCGCTTAACCTCTTGGACCAGTGCTGTCCAGCAGAACTTTCTGCTACGATGAAAATATTTTATATTTGTGCTGTCCAATGCAGTTGCCACCAGTCACATGTAGCTGTTGAGCTACATGTGGTTAATGTGTGTGACTGTGGAACTGAATTTTTAATTGTCTTGAGGGTTAATTAGTGTGGCCAGCGGCCACCATATTGGACACCAGTCTTAGGGCATTAGTTTTCTTGTCTGTGAAATGGGATAATGATTGTCTCCTCTTCGTCAGTAGCTGGCATGATAAAATGAGGTGATCTATATAAAATGTTCAGTTCATAGTCTGGCACCTAATAGCACTCAGTAAATGTTGGCTTATTATATTGTTATTATTGCTGTTGAAAACTTCGGAAGTAACAGGTTTTCTAAGGGCAAAACAAAACCAGAACACATGCTGTCTTGTGTCCACCATCGAGGCGTGGCCCACATCCATAAGGTCTCAGGGACAGTGAGATGTCCTTTCCCCCTCAGATCCCAGGTCCCCAGTGTTCCCAGTGACCGGATCAGCCCTTCCTAATGAAACCAGCTCTCAGTTATTCAATCTTCGGTGCCAGCCATTGTACTGAGGGCTCTACACCCAGGACCCCAACTGTTGAGGCCGTTCAAACCCTCACAACGACCTTTTGAGGTGGGAAGGACTCTCATCACCAGTGTACAGAGCTAGAGACTGAGGCTTAGAGATGGAGCGACCTGTTCTGTTAGTGCGTGTGCGGGGCTAGCGGGAGAAACCCACTCCAATGGACTCTGGAGGGCGAGGTGGGAAGCACTGTGCTTTCCCCTCCTTTTCCTGGTGCCGGGGCCTCCCCGAGCCAGGCAGAAGAGGGGTGCCCCCTCTTGCTTGCGGGGCCAAGCGACATTTCTCCAAGTGCTCCCTGCTCCCTGCTTGAAGAGGCCCCCAAGATCCTCTTCCACCTTTTGTCTTTTTCAGACCTTGTCCCAGGATGTGATCTCACCTGAACCCACCATCTAACAATCTGAGCCAGACCCCTCCTCTCCTCCATCCCCCACCCCCCATGCCTCGCACGTGCGCACCAGAAGGGGTGTGATTCCGTGTTTTCTATTTCATTCCCAGGAGGGCGGTTTCGTGTGAATATCCTTAAAATGAAGGGTCTCGTATAAGTGCAGACAGTACATTCTATTCATGTGGCCCAGTCTGCTTTTCAGATGCTTTTGGGACCTTTATTTATCAAGCGGGGCGAATAAGACAGAGACAGCTCTTCTTGACCAGGCATTGAAAGCGGGTGGCCCTCAAGCTGTGTCTGATGCACAGACACTTTTTGTTTGGCTGATACGATGTTCGAAAATTTTTTTGAGCCAATATTTAAAGCTTGAAAGGCTTTGCATAAAAACTGAGATCTCTGGCTTCTCTTGTAAAATCGAAATTGCTGACCACACTGAAGTGAATTCTGCAGCCCCTTAGGGTCCCGGGGGCTCCAAGTTCACAGCTTTGCTCATTTACGTTTACCTGGCCTGCAGGTGTCCGAGCTCCGGTTCTTACCTTGGTCTGTGAGAACCTTGAGTCCAAGACCACCAACCAAGGGGTGTGGATGGAGCTGGGGTTCCACTCTCTGTCTGTAGCTCACACATGCAGCCACCAGAGGTCCCCTTTTGTTGGAGGAACCAGCAGTATGGAGAAAGCTCCAAAGTCGACCTGGGTTCAAACTTACTTGCTGTGTGACCTTGGGCAATTAGTCTAACCTCTCTGAATTTTATTGTCCTAGTTAGAGACTAGTGAGGATGATAAAAGTACTACTTTATGTGGTCTTTGTGACTTTAAAAGAAAATCCATGAAAAATGCTTCAAACAGTGCTCCATCCGTTTCAATTATTATTATTATTTTAATTAAAAAATCTTTTTTGCTGAGGAAGATTAGCCCTGTGGTAACATCTGTGCCAATCTTCCTCCAGTGTATATGTGGGTCACTGTCACAGCATTGATGAGTGGCATAGGTCCACACCTGGGATGGGAACCTGCGAACCTGGGTCACTTTGAACTTAACCACTATGCCTCAGGGCCAGCCCCTACCTATTATTATTTTATTGAACAGAAGTGCATCTGCTTTTTCGGCCCGGGTCTGTTAAGGCTGTTTCCATTTTTGATGTCATTATTACTTTTGCGAGTTTTTTTGGTGAACCCTAAACTTCCATGTAAATTGAGTATTTTGGGGGGTAAATTATAGGATTAAAACGCACCAGTGAATCCTGCAGCAAAGAGGAGAACTCTTTTATGTCGTGAGTCCTCCCCTCTAAATGCGATGCATTTTGCACCTTCAGATCTGGGTCTGTCACCTTTCTTAAAGGGGGCTTACCTGCAGCGTGTCCCTGTTTGAGAAAGCCTCGAAGTGACTCAGGTACTGTCCTCTCTCTGCCCGCTGCCCAGTGAGTTGGAAGGGCATTGACCGGGCTCCGCTTTTTCTGTGCATCTTTGGATAGAATTTTGTGCTGATGCAGCGGAGGGGTGTCTGATCTTGTTGTAATACACAGGGATGGCCACAAGAGGGCAGAAGTATTCCACAATGTTGCCTTACAACCTCCATCCATAAAACTTTTATTTAAATAATAATATACGTAAAAACGATAGATGCCATTAAGTGCTATAAAATGAAGGCTCTCTTGGGGCTGGCCCCGTGGTCGAGTGGTTGAGTTTGCCCGCTCCGCTGCAGGCGGCCCAGTGTTTCGTTGGTTCGAATCCTGGGCGCGGACGTGGCACTGCTCATCAGACCACGCTGAGGCGGCATCCCACATGCCACAACTAGAAGGACCCACAACGAAGAATATACAACTATGTACTGGGGGGCTTTGGGGATAAAAAGGAAAAAATAAAATCTTTAAAAATAAAAATGAAGGCTCTCTTTTTATAGGCACATAAGTATAGAAGTCTGACAAATTTCAGGGTGTATCCATATTACGGTGTCTAGGGCCATGTGATTTTGGGGAGGGGAGGGTGGTTCCTGGTGGCAGTGAGGGGACATTTGTAGCCAAGGAGCCTACCTGTTCTGTTCCCAGCCCATCTCTCCAGAGGCACCCCCCCCCCCCCCGCCCCCCCACCACGCTATATTCCAGCCTTCCCACTTTGTCTGGGGATGCAAAGCCGTGCCCCACGGGGCTCAGACACAAATCCAGTTTCATTTCCAGCACTGAGCCACCGTCAGGGCTCCAGCCCCTTTCCCCGTAGAGTTCCTGAACCCCAGTGTGAATCCTAGGATGTGTGGCTGGAGGAGAGAGAAGCAGAGAGTGGGGGCAGCCATCGGGAGTCTTGGGCTGTCCAGTCTGCTCTGCTCTGCGTTCACCTTGGATTTACGAAAAGTCACTGCAGTCCAAGCTGAGCGGGAGACTCTGAGGGCCATCCAAAGACGAGGACAATGGAGCCCTTCCCATGCCGAGTTCAGAAGCTGCGTGGGGAGACAGATAATTAACATTCACCATTTATGGAGCATTGCCTATGTCTGAGCAGACGTGCTAACTTACCAAGTATGTGCGCTTAAGATTCCCATTTTACAGGTGAGTAAAGTGAGGCTCAGAGAGGTTAAGTGATTTGCTCTAGGTCACTAGCTAATGAGTGGCAAAGCTGAGATTCAAACCCAGGCTGGTCTGACCCCAGAGGCAGAGACCCAACCTGTAGCCAAGAGGCCATCCGCACAGGGCCGGGTGTCCCGCTGGGTACCACTAGGGGGCGGCGTGGAGGCTCACGGTGTTCCTCCCCTCCCGGTGCTCACGGTTTATTTACCATCCTCCTCTCTTCCTCCCTCTAGGAAATCACCCCTGGCCAGCTGAGTCTGGAGGACCTGTTGGAGATGACGGATGAGCAGGTGTGTGAGACCGTGGAGAAATACGGAGCCAACCGGGAGGAGTGTGCCCGCCTCAACGCCTCCCTCTCCTGCCTGCGGAAGGTCCACATGTCAGGTGAGCGGGCAGGGGGCTGGAGACTGGTCCCCAACCCGTCTGCCGCCTTCTTCCAGATTCCTGTGCCCGCAGCTGCAGGCCAGGACGAGACGGAGTCGCCTTTGGCTGGTAAATGCCGCTCATGAGCAGAGGGAGGAGGAGCCTGGAATCTGGATGTTGGAAGAAGTGGTCAGGGCAGCTCCTGAGAACTGGTGCCCGAGGGAGACCTTCTGAGGTTGTAGGGCGTTTGGTTCTGGATAATCAGGGTCCCGATACAGAAATACTGGGTGTGCGTAGGAGACCAGTGGCTTTTTACCGCAGATGTTCTGAAGTGCCTTTGTATTTTGGGTCAACATCTAACTTCTTATTTTTTACATAAACAATATATAGCCACTGTAAAATAAATCAGAAAATAGATTAGCAAAAATAAAATAATACCCTAAGCCCCATCCTCTAGGAGCCTGCTGTTGTCATTTTGGTATAACTTTTGGTATAATTCTTCTGGACAAATACGTATGTGTATACTTTCTTTAAAGAATAGAATTAGGATTATCCATACATATTATTTGGAGACTTTATTTTTTTTCCATCTCACAAAATAACCTCTGTGACTTGTTTTATCAGTTTGGGGTTCAAATATATTGTCATCTTTCTTTGCCCTTTCCCCTGAATTACTCAAACTCTCGTTTGCCTTTGTGAGCAGGACATCAAATATCATCTTCCTGAGTCTTCCTGCTTCTCTCTAGTCTCGTGATTTTTCCACAAATCCTGGGGCCTTCTCGGTCCTAAGGGATCAGTTCGGCAAACACCAACCAAAGAAAGGTGTTGGTCCACCTGCTCGGTTGTTTCAGTTCTCACCACAAGGTGTCACTGTTGGACGTCAGTCTGGCACAGTGTGCGGGAGGCTTGTCCGTACACGCCCTCGCTGGATTCACCGTGCAACACTCACCAAGTATTGATTGAGTGACTACGTGTCTGCTGTGCTGGGGTCCAGCAGCAAACAAAACAGAACTTATGTGAAACAGGCCATTGGCCCACGTTGCATGCCTCTCTCTTTATATTCTTTCTTGGCAGCAGACCCTAATCAAAGCTACAGTCCACGTCAAATGGGACTTTGAGTTGGGTCCTGTCCTGTCATTGGAGGATGCTTAGTAGCATCTCTGGCCTCCACCTACCAGTAGCCACCAATAACATCCCCCCCAAACGTGACAAACAGAAGTGTCTCTGGATATTTCCAAATGTTCCCTGTGGGGGCGGAATCACCTCTGATTGACTAGTTATAAAGGTCATGACATTCCTTACTCTAGTACAATGCTGTTGACTCACCTAACATTTGCGTGGCTAAGAGGGGCCTGTCCGTCACTCAGGACAGACAAAACCTCTTCAGGGAGATTCCTCTCTCTGCCCACAGTGAGAAGCCGCTGGCAGCTTCCCTCCTTTAAAAAATTGCACCGAGTCACAATGTTAAATCATAAACATCTTCCTTTGTCAATAAACGTGTTTTCCTCCTCATTTTGAATGCCTGAATACTGCAGCCATTTGTTCAACCAGTCTCCAATTTTTCAAAATTTAGGTTGTATCCATATTTTCCTGTTATAAGCAGTGAACAGCTTTGGGCATCTTGGGGAACATCCATGGTTATTCCGTTAGTGGGAATTCATAGATGTGCGGTTCCTGCAGCAAAGAGTTTACGTATTTTAAGACTTCAGTGAATGCTGCCATATCGCTTTCCAGAAAGTTCATATGGATTTATGCCTCTCCCTCTCCCCCACCTCCTGCAATGATGAGAGGGAGCAGTGGAGGTCTGGCTCCTTCACTCCTTTTCTGGGGTCACAGCTTCCCATCAGAGTTGTGTTACTGAGTTTGGCGAAGTCCTTAAAAGTGGAGCTGGCCTCCCATTCCGCCTGAGAGAGGCGTTTATGTCACCCCTCCGTGGGCCGAGCAGTCATCCTTGGTGACATCCTGGGCTGGGTGAGACCTTGAGAGGGCCTCTCATCTGGAGTTTTTCAAACTGTTTTGATCAAGACTCACAGAGATACAATTTATCTTGCACCCCCCACACCTATTGCACACACACAGCTGCAATGAGTTTCATGAAACAGTGCTCTTTCTTACCAGGCGTGATATTTTACATTCTTCTCTATCTTATTCTCAATAATTTACCAAGCGCCGCTGATCTCCACCTGGGCTCACCTCCAACCCTTTCCAGGCGGCTGTGATTCTGTCCACAGTGTCCTGCCTCCGATGCCAACCTTAGAGCCACCGGGTCCTTGAGAGCAGTGGCCGCGTGCTGCGCTTTGCCCGATTCCTCCAGCTCTTAGCGCCGAGGCCAGCGTGGAGAGAAGCTCAGCTCGGTGCAGGATTGTCCCCTCTGCACTGAGGTTTCTTAGTCTCATACTTCACTTCTGCTCTTCCCGTGGGTAGCTGTGCCACCTCTCCCATTTGAATTTTCGTTTTAACCTTTTATGGAGAGTGATTTATTTTTTATGGATGCCTCTTTCAACCAAGGAAAAATTCCCTACAATTCAAACAGCAGATATTTCTTTGGGCAGTTAGAATTGCAATTCAGAGGACACACATGCAGATAGAAACCCAAAACGTGTTCCGATTACAGGAGGGGGTCATAGGGTTTCTATGAGAAAAAGGAAGGATGAGGTGGTTGTATGAAAGAAGGGTTCTTTGGTGCTGGATGAGGTACGGCTGGCTTGTACTTCATGGATTGGCTTGAGATTCAGTCATCAGGCAAAAGGCTAGACTGTCCTTCATTGATTGGTTAGCGATTTGGTCATTAGCAAAGTCTAATTTCATCAGTCCTTCCACATAGGATATTCTTGTGCTTACTGATTTCTTGGGATGTTGGTGGTTTGGTCCAGCTTGGAAGATAAAGAAGATTTGCAAGATAATTCCTCTGAAATGGCTGCTCTGGCTCTATTTTAGTATGGCTCCACTCAGGTCATCTTTCACACCCCTCTCCCGCACCAGACCCTACACTGCAAGAGGGCAGGGGCGGCCCCTGGTTCTGCTCACCGTTCCGTTCCCAGCTCAGCATTGGCACATGGGAGTGACTCAAGAAATGTTTCTGAATCAGTCACCTCCCCCCAGCGTGGAGCCCGTGAAACTCACCAGGGGCTGAACATACATAGTCTCTCTCAGCGAATGCAAAGTGACTCAGGGTTTGGTTTCTATTTGGAACCTCATTGTTCACATCTCCCCCTCAAGCCCTAAATAGCAGATAAATCTACTAGTTACTTAGGGTTTCCTGGGCCAGGCGTGGATTTCACATCTTAGTATTCACCCCGCTGCCTGGCGTTCCCTTCCCCCTTTGTCCGCCTGGTGCATCCCAGCTCACCGCAGGCTCAGCTCCTGCCTCGAGGGCCCTGCATTTTGTTGAATGAATGAATGAATGAATGTATGCCTCTCTCACCAACTGGTAATGCCTTATAGTGATTGGCAGTTTCCCTGTCTCGCTCCCTCAATGGACTGTGACCTCTGGGAGGGCAGGCTCAGCATGCTGCCATGCGCTCCTCCCCCAGGTTATTGTTGAAGAAAGCGCTGGAGAGCGCGGGACGTGCTTGTGTCTGATCTCCACCAGGGGGAAGCAGTGAGCCATCCTTGGAGGATCCTTCTTGTTTTAAATTCTCTTCTTCCCTCCAAAATTATCATTGGTTCCTTGAAGCTTCTAAGTGTCTTGGGAGCTGGATGGTTCCATCACTGCCTGCCGTTTGTCTTAACCAGAAATGTTATCCCAAAGTAGGGATCAAACTAGCCTTTCCCACTAGACTTTTGCTTCTTGAGGGTCATACGATATTTATTCACCTTGGTATCCCCAGCTCTCAGCTAGGAAGCTGGAGGCTCCCCCAGTGATGAAATCAGATATTTTAAATTCTAGTGTGTAGTGGGGAGGCAACGTGTGTTTGTTAAATGACTGAAGGAATATAAGTTGTGTTGAGAAATTCATGGAAACCAAGCATATGGAGTAAGGAAGCTTAATGCCTGGCCAAGAATCTGTGTAATCTCTGCCTCTCTGTCTCGCCCTCCGTCCCTCCCTCCATCTCTCTCTCTCTCTTTCTTAGAGGATAGGGGCAGCTTTATTTTCAAGTTGTGACTCTAATTAGTTCTCTCCTTGGATTTTGGGGATATCTCTATTTCCCAGTGCCCAAGGAACCCCAAAGAAAGGAAAGCTTAACCCTTTCTTCTCTTCTCACAGCTTGTTAGATCCGCCTTAGCCTGAAACCAAGGAACACTCAGTCATCCCTCAACAAGCCCAAGGGACTCCAAAGCCAGGATTTGGGCTGTGAAACCAAAAAACGTTTGTTCACTCATTCAACAGAATTTATTGGATGTCTATTATATGTCAGGCACTGTTCTAGTCTCTGAAAATGCTTAGATGTCTGTCCTCGTAGAGTTTACATTCTAGTAGGAGACAGACGATAAATTATAATCAGAATCAGCATGTACATTTTATAGTGTGTTAGAATAAATGGGGTGGAAAAAAAAGTGGAGCAGGCTAAGGGGGGTCAGTTGTCATGTTAAACAGAGTGGTCAGGGCAAGCCTCCATCCTTTTCAGTTCTCCTGCCTTCTCCTTCTCAGTCCTTAATTGTTTGCTGAGAGTATGGAATCTGGAGTCAGACCAACTCAGGTTCAAGTTCTGGGTCTGCCACGTATTAGCTGTGCGGATTTTGAGTAAGGTATCTCCTGATGCTGAGCTTAGTTTCCTAAGCAGTAGGGTGGAGATGATGATCATTTCCACCCTGTTGGTCTTTGGGAGGATTGCATGAGATGATGCAGGCCAAGCACACAACCTGGCCTGGATTGGGTACATGATAACTCTGTGTTACTATTATTGTCAGCAGCAGCAGCAGTACCATCCTTGCCTCCATCCTACAACCATCACCACCATTCCTACTCCAGTTTCTACCGTCACTACCACCATCATCACCATCATCACTACAATCACCATCACCGCTACCATCCCCATCGTCTCCATCACCACCATCACCACCACCACCATCATCATCAC